TATTCTGGTTTTTAATGCTTATTCAATAATAAAACTGTTTCCTTTCTCTACTGTCTTAATGGAGAGGATTTCTGGGATGGGAGAAGGTTTTGTTTTCAAGTATAATTCTCCAACAATATGCTATCTTTTGAATTTACTTATGCCCATTGTTATAATAAGAACTAACTATTCTTATGTAAAATAGAAGTAAAAATAGCATAGGAGCATTTTAAATTTTTAAAAAATTTTAAATTTTAAAATTCAGTGTAAAATAGTTTTCAAATTAAAAAAGGAAATACTACGTATAATTACTCAATAGAAATGTTTAAAAAGGAAATGCTATGTATCATTACACAATAGAAATTTTTACTGTGGTTTGCGCATCTGTAACCCATGTGAGGTAAATTAGAACCTTTGATCAAAAGGATGCAAATAAGTAACTGCCTGATTATAGGTCTGCAACTACATATAAAGACAGAGTCCTTTCTACCAAAGAGCACATATTAATGAGAAACCCTTGAGCTATCTCTGTTTCCCCCAGTATTTGGTAACAAGACTTTTTGGGATAGGTGATTACTAATGTAGTATAGCAACTCTCTATAAAGTCTCTAGCATCCTACCTAAGTGAGAAAGAATCTTAAAATGACCAATATTATACAAAAATAATTTCTTTTAATGTTCTGTTTTTAGTAATGTAAGCAATCATGACCTTATACTCTAACCATATTAATGAAAATCTAGGACATCAATATTGACAAGCTCTAAAAAAACATTAGTAGCAATTCAATAAACTTTAATTGCCTATTTCAAGACAGTGCTTATATTTTTTAGTTTTAAAAATACTACTCAGATAAAGACAATCATGTAAACTTTAAGTGAGAGGGAAATCTAATCAATATTTTGGGGGAAAGTTAATGATAATTAAAACCTAAAGTTATCTAAGAGCAGGACACAAATAGATCAGGTAAATGTCATATAAGTGAAATGTGAAAACAAATTGTTTTAAATAATTAACAATATTTACCTTGCAGCATTTTGTTCAATCTTTTCATCAATGTCACTGAAGATCTGCTCAAACTCCAAGTCTCCAGGAAATGAGTTTAACAAACAATGTAGGTCAAAAGAACTATGAGAATATTCATCATCCCAATTCATTCTGAGGAACAAGAATAAATAAAACATGTGAGTTCCCTCACAATAGCCAGATATGACGATGGGCAGAAATTCATCTCAAGTTGTGATACTAAACCAAAAATAATAATTTCCATTTATAGGCACAATGAAATGTAGCAGTGGGATAACTATGGTATTATTAAACTAGGTAGAGTGTTTTGTTATTTAAATTTCATGAGGTGTGACCTAATTTTCACACTTCTCTATGGTTTGAAAGCTGAACAAAACAGTAGCCCACAGAGAGTACTTAAGCATCCTGCAGCTTCTCACTATAACCAAGAACTGTAATGGAAGTGACAGAGGCCACAGACCACTGTGAACAAGGGTGGGTGCAGCAAAAATTCAATGCCTTCCCTTAACCCTTGTCAATATACTGACCTGAAAATTGTAGCCTTAGACTTTTTAAAGCCTCACCCCACAGGATCTGCTTATATGTAAAAGATACAAAATTTTCCTAGAGTTCCTCTAGCACTCCTTGACAACCTCAGTATTGACACCTAACTAAAAACTGAATGATATGATACTCCTTCTTGAGGCACATGCATTTCCCCACCATCAAAGCTTTAATCATTCATTCTCTATCTATACTGAATGTTTGATAGGTTACACGCACTGCTATAGGGGCTGGGGTCTAGCTGCAATAAGTTAAATTCCCTGCCCTCATGGAGTTGTTTTTCTAGTGGGGAAGACAGATTTTTTTTACAACACATAAACAGATATATTTAATCAAAAATCATATAGTGAGAGGTACTATAAGAACAAGTAGCTGGGCGCAGTGGCTCATGCCTGTAATCCCAGCACTTTGGGAGGCTGAGGCAGGTGGATCACTTAAGGTCAGAAGTTTGAGACCAGCCTAGCCAACATGATGAAAACTCGTCTCTACTGAAAACACAAAAATTAGCCAGGTGTGGTGGCAGGCACCTGTAATCCCAGCTACTTGGGAGGCTGACACAGGAGAATCGCTTGAACCCTAGAGGTAGAGGTTGCAGTGTGCTGAGATTACATGTCCCTGCACACTAGCCTGGGCAACAAAGAGTGAAACTGTCTCAAAAAAA